GGCATCCTTGAGTTCCAAGGCCTCATTAATTTCTCGCAGCATCTCGAAGCGTTCACGCCCACGAATCTGCAGCAGGGGAGGAAAAAGAGAATGAAGTAGGAAGCAAAGTCGTGGATCATGTTCACACTCTCTTAATTTGCTTTTTATTTATTTAAGAATCATTTTATTTAACTTTATTTATTTAAATTTGACCAGAGAGGGACAGAACGACAGAGAGAGAGAAAGAGAAAGTGAGAGAGCAAGACTCCAGGTCTGGGACTCAAACCACAATCAGCTATGTGGGAGTCCAGTGCCCTTACCAGCATGCCACCTGCTGGCCCCTTGCTTTTCATTATTATCATTTTTAAAAAAATTATTTTTTTTTAGAGAGGTTTTTGCTATATAGTATGTGTGTGCTTGCCAGAGACAGAGAGAGACAGAGAGACAGAAAATGAGAAATTACCCAACAGGGGACAGCCATGCCACAATCCCTTCTCTTTCATTCTCCTCATAGGGTTTTGGGCACACACACATGTGCCTGCATGAGTTTCAAGCCACCAGATTCAGAACTCAAACCAGTCGACCATGTGGGAGTCCAGTCCAGTGACACAGCCATTACCATTACACCATCTGCCTGTTAAAATGCACATTATGGTACGGGCTGGTGTTCTGAAGTCAGTGAGGCACAATCAGGAGCCCTTGTCTCTAAGGCACCCCTGTGCCCTGATAACCAAATGCCCTAATTGTAGGCAAAGCAGTCAAGAAGAAAACAGCATTTTGGGACCAGCAGTTAGCGTAATTGCTATGTCGCTGGACTCCCATGTAGTCAATGCGGTTTGAGTCCCAGACCTGGTGGCTTAAACTCACACCAGGTGTGTATGCGTGCGTGCCCAAGATCCCGAGAGGAGAACGGAGGAGAAGGGATTGCGGCGTGACCATCCCCCCTGGGGGAGTGATTTCTCACGTCCTGTCTCTCTGTCTCTCTCTGTCTTTCTGGCGAGCACACACGCCCTATAGCAAAAACCTCACCAAAAAAAAAAAAAAAGAGAAGAAAAAAGAAAATAGCATTTTGAATTCAAGACTTGAAACTTTTAACCTGATGATAATAACCTTTTTTTTTTTTTTAAATTTGCTATAGGGTGCTTGCATTCTCCAGAGAGAGAGAAAGAGCGAAAGTGAGAAAGCACGCCCCAGGGAGGATGGGCACGTACACACACGTGCCTGGTGTGTTCTTCAAGTTGCTGGGTCTGGGACTTGAACCATGCAGTCGGCTCTGTGGGATCCAGATGCCCTAACCACTATGCCATTGGCTGGCCTGGTAATATTAGCTTTTTAAGAGTCAGAGCTATGAACAGAGGAAAGAATGGTTACAAAACCTGGGCCTAACCTCACGGTCCCTACACTTAATCTTTCCCTTCCTTATTTGATCCCACTTAGTATATACAAGAGACGTGCTCTGTCTCTCGCAGACACGGTACCTGAAGGGTGAAATACTCTTCATCCAGTGGTTTCTTCTTTGGCTGTGGAGAAGAGCTGGAACCAGTCGGCAGTGCTGGAAAAGAAGCGAGGAGGTGAGAGAAGGGAGACTTGGAGGGAGAACTGTACCCTTGCTGCCTCTTTGGCGTGTCCTGCTTGCTTACCTCGCTTAATGCTCCCAGTGGGCAGCTTGGGACAAGACTCCCCTTTCTTGCGGAAATTTTCTTCCTCTGTGCGTCGGTCTCTTCCAGGACAGGCACAAATGCGTACCTCGAAGCTGTTCCGTCCTAGCAGCTTCCCACTGCCCGGGATAAGAGAAGCAGGAGGCAGTAAGGAAGTCAGGCCCACCTCCTCCCATCCACTCTTGTCCTATTTAGAGCTTAAGCTCCGGCTCTAAGCTTCTCTGAGCAGCTGCAGGAGGTCCTTGAAGCCAGAGAGAAGAAAAGAAGGAGCAGTAGAGGACATCCACATGTGGGGATGGGGTGAGGGCGTGGGCTGGACAATGGTGCAGGGATAAAAGTGATGCTCTGCAAGGCAGACCCTCATGGGAGTGCTGCTGGTTTGAATCTGAAGACCTCCTTGAGTATGCGAGGCATGTGTACCCATGGTCTGAGATGGCTGAGGCTTGGCATGGACTGCAGTGTCAAGACCCTAGCAGAGATGCTTTCTCTCTGCTTCTCTCTCTCTCACTCATGGTATAAACTTTTAAAAAATAATCGGGGGAGGGGGGAGATCAGCAGGTGGCATAATGGCTACGTTGCTGGGCTCCTATATAGTCTACCACGGTTCGAGTCCTGGACTTGGTGGCTTAAACTCACGCCGGGCGTGTGTGCATGTGTGCCCAAGATCCCGAGAGGAGAATGGAGGAGAAGGGATGGCAGCATGGCCATCACCCCTGGGGGGTGATTTCTTGCTTTCTGCCTCTCTGTTTCTTTCTATCTTTCTGGAGAGCGCATGCACCCTATAGAAAAAAAAAAAAAATCACGCCAGGCACATGTGCGTATGTGCCTGAGATTCTAGGAGGCGATGGATAAGGGATTGCAGTGTGGCCACTTCACCCCCGCCGTTGGGGAGCGGGGATTTCTCACTTTCCCTCTCTCTGTGTCTGTCTCTGCTGTGTACATGTGCCCTAAGGCAAAAATCTCTAATAAAAAACAAAATAATGGGGCTTGCAGGTGGTGTGGTGGTTGGGGCACTGGACTTCCACAGGGCTGATCACGGTTTGAGTCCTGGATCTTGTGGCTTGCTTCCTCACTTTATCTCGCTCTTTCTCTCTCTGGTCAAATTAAAAAAAAAAAAGTAAATAAATAAAATAAAATTGAATTAAATATGTCTTTAAAGTAATAACAAATGATGATAATAATAATAATAAGGGAGGGGCTGGCAGGTGGCATGGTGGTTAAGGGCGCTGGACTCCCACATGGTCAACCATGGCTCAAGTCCTGGACCTGGTGGCTTTCTTTCCCAGTTTCTCTCTTCTCTCTCTCTGGTCAAATTAAAAGAAATAACTAACTAACTAAAGTTAAATTAAAACAATTTATTTTTTAATTTGACGAAAGAAGGACAGAGTGAGAGAGAGAAAGTAAGCCGCCAGGTCCAGGGCTTGAACTGCAGTTGCCCATGTGGGAATCCAGTGCCCTCCCACCACCAAGCCACCTGCTGACCCCATTAAAAAAAGTTCTTTAATAAAATAATAATGATGATGATGATGAGGGAGAAAGGGGGAAAGGCCAGGGGCCAGAGGTCAGAGACTGGCAGAGGTTAGGGATGGGCATGCCAACGCCAAGGGTGGCGTGGGGCCCCCTACCTGGAGTCCTCCAGCGTGATAATAGTGAGGATGGGGCGCCGGTTCATGCCGCCCATGCAGGAGCTGTTGCACATGTAGTTGTAGTGGATGGTGGTGCAGTCAGAGCCGACCTGAGGGAGTAGGCAGGCCACAGTGAGGCCGGGCAGCTCAGGGCAGCAACCAGGGATGCCCATTAGCCTTTGTCGGCTCCAGTTGCTCCAGCTATGGGATGGGAATACCCCAAGTGTTCCGTAAACCCCACAGGGCTGCGAAGAAGCAGAATCAAGACCCTACCTCCCACCTGTGGGCCACCGGCAATGTTCTCCAGCCCCTTCTCCCAGAGACCCCAGACACCAACAAACCTCGGGCGGCTCGTAGGGCACTACCACACTGTGTCGGAAAGTGTTTCTGTCATCCGAATACTCCGCGTGCAGGTTTCCTTCCACCCGGATAAGATGCTGAGGCGGGGCCAGACCTGAGAGCAGTCGGGAACCATCAGGAGCCTGGGGAGCCTGGGCGCCCTGGGGCAGCCAGCTCTGTCCCACCTCTAGCCCCCGACTGCTCACCATCGCTGTCAGAGCAGCGCTCGTGGTGGGGGCAGCGTCTCACGACCTCTGTCACGTATTGTGACTGCTTGTAGATGGCCATGGCCCGGACACGGGTGCCGGGCGGGGGCGCCGAGTCCACCCACAGCTGCACGGGGCAGGTCTTTGCTAGCTGGCAAAACAGCTTGTTGAGGTCCGGGGAATACTGTAGAAGGTGGAGAGAGAATCTGAAGTCAGGGATAAGTGAACAAATAAATGAGAAAATGAGGGTCAAATAAACACCTTCTGGAAGCCATACCCTGTGGGGAGGGTGTGACAGGGCTGTGGCCGACCCCTGGTTTCCAAAGCCAAGGAAGGAATGTGAGCGAAGGAAAAGAAAGAACATTCCATGCCCCCAGGAGAGGGGCTGAGGATGGGAAGCATGAAAGCCCAAGGTCAAGGGAGAAAATTCAACTTCGGGACAGAGGCTGAGGCTTCAGACCACATGTGTAAAACAGAAGAAGCCAGAGAAGAAGCTAAAGACTGAAGAGAAATCTTTGTTCTGAACAGCAAAAGCCAGAGGGATACAGCTAGGCACTGAAAGGTCGCGTGGAAGCCAGCCCCAGGGCCACTGACCGTGCAGGTGACAGACTTGGCTGTCCCAGAATGCAAGAAGCCCAGACGGAAATTAAAGCTGCCGTGGTAGGTCTTTTCAGAAGGGACAGAGGACGACAGGGGCCAGGAGGTGGCCGGTGCAGAGGCGGCTGCTGTGGGAACGGTGGGGACAGGGGCCGTCGCCATCCTGAGAGCCTCATCTGGGTCTTCATTGAACCAGTCTTCCGTGGGCAGCATCAGATCCTGCGCTGGCGGGGGCATCGAGGAGGACTGTGGATGGGCAAAGCACGCGTCAGAGGGCCAGCACCAGCTCAGCAGCCCACAGACCCGCCCCGACTCTCCCCCTTACCAGAAGGTCCTGTCCAGGGAGCCTGAAAGACAAGATAACGAAATCAGCAAGTGAGGTTTTGATTTCAAAGGGCCTCTGCTAAGGGGCAGGGGAGTCCAGGGTAGGGACATGACCCTGCTTTGCTGGGGCCTTCTGCCCTTCCCCTGAGAACCACTCACAGACTCCATAAGTCTGAAAACGTCTCCTGACTCAGAGGGAGCTCCACGCTGAGATCCGACTGCGGTTCCTCCATGGTCACATGCAAGAAGGCAGCCTGGTCACTGCAAAGGGAAGAGTGAGGATTGGCATGAGAAAGCCCTGAATCCTGGGCCACCCAGGCCTGGGGAGGGAAGGACCCCTCCCTGACACTGTATCAGGGCCTGAAGTGCAGAGCCACCTCTCAAGGAGCAGAGACAGACCCGCTCCTCCACACAGCCAGCTGCCTCCCTCCCTGCCACATACTCGAGGGAAAAACCCAAACAGGGGTGTCCCCTTTCCTGCCACATCACAGGCCTCCCCCAAATGTGCCCTCCATTTCTAGCCTCCTGTTCATAAGGATAAGCAGCTCTTAGCCCACTCCCTTCAAAAAGGAGGATAGCCCCAACTCACATATTGCCCACCCCATTCCTCTGATCCCCTCCATTCTAAGTCTTCCCTCCCTTCCTTGAGAGATTTTTACTATTGGACACGTGTTACTTGTTGGGGAGACAGGCAGAATGCGAGAAACACACCCCCACAGACACCAGGGATGGCCACACTGCAATCCCTTCTCTTTCATTCTCCTCTCAGGATTTTGTGCCTGGCATGATTTTTAAAATTTTTATTAATTATTATTATTATTGTTTAATTTGTTATAGGGCACATACGCTAAGAGAGTGTGACAGAGAAGGGGAGAGCAAGAAAGTAATTGGATAGGCCCAGGACTCGAACCGCGGTCATCCATGTGGGAGTCTAGCACCTTCTCTATCACACCACTTTCTGGCCCACCCTCCCAGGTGAGTTTTAAACCACCGACCGGGTCCAGTGGAAACAGTCGACTATATGGGAGTCCAGCGATGCAACCATTACACCATCTGCTGGTCCCGCAGACGGTTTTCTTATAATTTTTGCCAGAGATGGAAAGCATGCCCCCTCACCCCCCATGGAGGATAGCAATGTCACAATCCCTTTTCCATTTTTCCTCTCAGGGTTTTAGGCATGCATGTACACGGTCCTGGTGTGATTTTCAAGTTGCTTAGTCCAAGACTCAAATGGTCGAGTTAGCTATGTGGGATGCAGGTGCCTTAACCTTACTACTGGCTCTGACTCACAAAGCTTTTTACAGTACAAGTCTTACCTCTCAACCCCCATTCCTCTGGGAAGGCTTCTCACCCTTGCCTTATAAATCCCTCCAGACCCAGATCCTCCACCCTCATGAACTGGTGGTTTTCTCTACCAGGAGTACTCTGTCCCCTGTGGCTGCAGGGTTGGCCTCTTCCTAAGATCTCATGACTGCATCTCCTCAGGGACGTCTTCCCAGACCACTCAGCCAGCCAGCCCAACTCCCTCAACACCCTGTTTTAAATTCACATCACCTTATTTTTGCTGAAGGGCCTATGCACTTGCTGGAGAGAGGAAAGCACCCCTCACGGGGCATGGTCACACCTCAATCCTTTTGCTTCCAACTTGCCTCCTTTCAGGATTTTGGGCATGCACACATACGTGTCCAGTGTCTCTCAAGCTGCCAGGTCCGGAACTCCACCACGCGGCAGGCTGGCCCCTCTATTTTATTTTTAAAAAAATGTTTATATTTGGGGGCCAGCAAGTGGCATGGTGGTTAAGGACTCTGGACTCCCACATGGTTGACCATGGTTCGAGCCCTAGACGTGGTGGCTTGCTTTCTCAATTTCCCTTTCCCTCTAGTCAAAATTAAAATAAATAAATAGTTAAATAAAATAATTCTAGCAAAATAAATGTTTTTACTGGGATCAGCAGATGGCATAGGGTTATGTTGCTGGACTCCCATATGGCTGACAGCAGTTCGAGTCCCGGACCTGGTAGCTTAAAACTCATGTTGTGTGCGTTCGTGCCCAAAATCCTGAGAGGAGAATGGAAAAGGGATTGCAGTGTGGCTACTCCCCCAGGAGGTGATTTCTCATTTTCTGTCTCTCTGGTGAGTGCACATGGATTAAAAATAAAGAAAAAATTCTCAAAAAAAAAAAAAGTACATATTAAGGGGCTTGCAGGTGGTGAGGTGGTGAAAGTGCTGGACTTCTACAGGGCCAACTGTGGTTTGAGTCCTGGACGTGGTGGCTTACTTTCTCTCTCTCCTGTTCTCTCTCTCTCATCAAATTACAAATAACAATGAATGGGGACCAGCAAGTGGCATGGTAGTTAAAGCGCTAGACACTCCCACAGGGCTGACCACGGTTCTAGTCCCAGACCTGGTGGTTTGCTTTCTCATTTCCCCACTTTCTCTCTCTGACAAATTAAAAATAAATTAATTAATAAATAAAATTTAATAAATAATTACTAAATATGAATAAAATAATTATTGTTTTTTGGAGAGGATTTTGCTATAGGGCGCATGTGCTTGCTGGAAAGACAGAGACAGAAAGCAAGAAATCATCCCCCAGGGGGATGGCTACGCTGCAATCCCTTCTCCATTCTCCTCTCAGGATCTTGGCACGCACACACATGTGCCTGGGTTGAGTTTAAGCCACAGGGTCCGGGACTTGAACCACAGTTGACTATGTGGGAGTCCAATGACATAGCCATTAGGCCAACTGCTGGTCCCAAAATAAATCTTAAAAATAAAAAGTTTATATTGGGCCAATGGTGGCATGGAGGTTAAAGAAGCAGATCCTACATGGCCAGCTTCGTGGTTCAGGTCTCGGACCTGGTGGTTTAAGGATCACACCTGGTGCATGTGCATGCATGCCCAAAACCGTGAGTAGATTGGAAGGGACTGCAGAACGGCCATCCCCTGGGGGGGTATTTCTTCTTTCTGCTGAGTGCGTGTGCCCTACAGCAAAAAAAAAAAAAAGTAAAAGATGTCAACTATAAATGTTTATACTTTTCTTTCCATCTTAGACTGACAAATATCCCCCTACCAAGCAGCTCTAATGGTGAGCTTTTTTATAATCTGCCTTAACATTTGCCTCTACCTTCATGTTGATACAGGGCTTTCCTTCTTATGTACTTAGAGCTTGCAAAATCCTTTCACATGGATTATCTTATTTGTCCTGATCACCACACCTGCCACTTGATAGGTGAAGTGTCTGAGAGGGTCGATGACCGGCTCATGGAACACACAGGAGGAATGTTTTTATTAAAAATGACCAAGGGCCAGACAGTGGCACAGAGGGGAGACACAATCCTCTGCAAGGCTTGACCTACACGGGCAGGTTCAGTTCAGGTGCGGAGACCTCCCTGAGTATGCCTGGTGCACACGTGGCCGCCATCTGGGGCTGACTACAGCTGGGGGTGGGTCAGTCGACCCTGCTAGAGAAGCTGTCTGTCCGTCTCATGGAAGACGTCAATAACCCCAAGCACCAGCATCAGGTCGCCATGACACAAACGTGTTAAATGGAGGTCCGGCTCATAACTTAGTGGTTAAGGGAGCTGGATCTCACGTGGCCCACCACGGTCGGAATCATGGTTCAAGTGGCTTAAAAAATTGCCAGGCTGGGGGGCGGGCAGGAGATGGCATAGCAGTCATAGCTCTGGACTCCCACAGTCAACCACAGTTCAAGACCTGGACCCAGTGGCTTCAGACTCACACTAGGTGTATGTGCGTGCGTGCCAACGATCCCGGGAGAATGGAAGAAAAGGGACTGCATCATGGCCATCCTCCTGGGGACGGGTAGGTGGGTGACTTCTTGCTTTCTGTCTCTCTGGCAAGTGCACATACCCTATTGGAAAAAATGTCCTAAAAAAAGAAAAAAATGCCAGGTGCCCCCCCAAAATGCCATGTGTGCCCCAAACTCCCACAGGGTGAAACAATGGAGCGGGGTTGCAGTGTGACCACACCCCCTTGAGGCGTGTTTCTCTCTCTCTCTCTCTCTGGCTAGAACATGCACCCCTGACAATTGAAATTTAAAAAAAGAAAGAAAGAAAAGAAAAACAAGAAAAACAACTGAACCTTCCAAATGGCTGGGGAGCAGGACAGGATGTTTGTATGGACACGCAGGCAGCCCTGGCTGGGCGGGAAAGCAGTAAGCTTGGCCGAGAGCGAGGCAAGGCCGGCCTGACCATAATCCTAAGCATGGCTGCTGCTATAGACCCCACAGGCCTACAGGACCATAGCGCTCAGTAGCATATTTCATTTAATCTTTCCAAAAAAGCCAGTCATGAGGAAACTGAGAGTCAAAAGAATTAAGTCACTACCAGGTTTTAAAGCTCTCTAGGGACAAAATCAGAGATTTGAACCTGGGCTGGCTAAAGCCACACCCTCTAGATAATGATGTGCCTAAGTTTCTTCTTTTAGAGGGAGATTTTTGCTATAGGGTACGTGTGCTTGCCAGAGACATAAAGTGAGAAATCACCCCTTAGGGGTGCAATCCCTTCTCCTTCATTCTCTTTTTGGGACTATGCGCATGCATGCAGACGTGCCCTGTGTGAGTTTAAAACCACCGGGTCTGAGACTCAAAACACAGTGGATGAGGGGGTAACCAGCACTTAGCGTAATGGCTATGTCGCTGGACTCCCACGTAGTCGACTGCAGTTCGTGTCCCGGACCCGGTGGCTTAAAACTCACGCCGGGCGCGTGTGCGTGCGTGCCCAAGATCCCGAGAGGAGAATGGAGGAGAAGGGATTGTGGCGTGACCATCCCCCCTGGGGGGTGATTTCTCGCTTTCTGTCTCTTTGTCTCTCTCTGTCTGTCTGGCGAGCGCACGCGCCCTACAGTGAAAATCTCTCCAAAAAAAAAAAAAAATCCCACAGTGGATGATGTAGGGGTCCAGTGGTGTACCTATTACACCATCTGCTGATCCCAAAGGGATTCCTCACTTTCTCCCCCTCTGTCTCTTCTGCGAGTACACATGCCCTATAGCAAAAATCTCCCTGGGGAAAAAAAAACATTCTAATAGCTAGCCAAAAGCGATTTGATTAGGGGAGAAATGGACTCTAAAGGGCTGGCAGGTGGTGCGGAGGTCAAGGTTTTGGGTCCCACATGGGCGATCACATGGTCTGAGTCCAGACTGGCGGCTTGAAAAAAAATGTCACACCCGAGAGGAATGTGGAGAAGGGACTATGGCATGGCCATTCCACCCGGT